TAAAAAAAAAAAGCAAGAATACTTCAAAACTCATCTTAGAAGAGCAGTATTACCCTGATACCAAAATAAGGACACTACAAACCCATTACATTTAATATATCTGATGAAGACAAATGCAAAAGGGCTCAGCTATTTACTAGCAAATTAATATTTAGCAGTTCATTAAAACAATCATTTTCCACGAACAGGTGAGAATACCAGGAATATCAGAATGACTCAATAAATGCGAATATAATCCTTTCTCTGAACAGAAAAAAAGAACAAAAAAATGCATGAACATCTCAATAGACACAAAGTATTCCACAAAATCCAACATATTTGCATGATTAGAAATTTCTGTACAAAATACATATAATATCCAACAAAATAAAGGCAATATGTAGCAAGCCCACAGCTACCATTTCTCAATGTGAAAAATTGAAGGTTTTTTCCTGTAGGGTGAGAAGACAAAGATGCCCACTTTCACCCTTATACATAAGAAGGTCTGGAGGGATAAGCATTTGGTGCAGGAAATTAAGATGTCAACTGGAAGAACTATATCCCATTTGAAGTTCCTGGGTTTGGGCCCCAGTTATTCTTTTGATCCTACTTCCTAGTAACGCACACGTGGAGGCGGCAAGTTATAGTTCAGGTAGTTGGGGCTCTCGACACCAACATGGGAGACCAGAAATAAATTCCAGGCTTCTGGCTTTTGCCCTGACTTTTGTAGCATATGGGGAGTGAAGAGAATGGAAGATCTCATACTTTCCTTCTCTTTCAAATAAATTAAAAACAAAGGAAAAATGCTCCTTATTATACCCGAAATCTCAGGCAAATTAAATCATCTAAATAAGGAAAGTGAAACTGTCTCCATTTGTTGACATGATTTTATATAGATAAATTTCAGCTAACTTGCCAATTATAAGATCAACATAATTAGCAACATTTCTATGCACTACCCAAAAATCATCTGAAAAAGTAATCAAAGAATGTCATTTCCAAGAGCATTAAAAAAATCCACTTAAGGAGTAAACTTTACCAAGGAGGTGAATGACTAAAAGTTATAAAACATTGATCCAAAAAAAAAAAAAAAAAGAGAGAGAAAGAAGCCAAATATGAAGAACTGTTGCTGTTCCATGGTTAAGCTGCCACTTGGAAATGTCCACATCCCTTATGGATTATCGGCCACAGTGTGCTTCTGATCCACTTCCTGTCAACACACCTGGGAGGGCAGATGACTCAAGTACTTGGGTCTCTACCACATAGGGGAAACGCAGATGGAGTTTCTGGCTGAGGCCTGCCTAAGCCCTGGATGTTTTGGTCACTAATCAGTAAATGAAAAACTATTTTAGTAATGCTGCCTTCAAATAACCTTTTTTAAATTGCTGATCTAAGTGATTGAAGGATATCACATATTTAGTTTATTGATTATTTTTATTGGAAAGTCAGATTTACAGAGAAGGAGAAACACTTGGTTCACAATCCAAGTGGTCGCAACAGTCAGGGCTGAGACAATCCAAAGCCAGGAGCTTCCTCCGGGTCTCCTTGCAGGTGAAGTTTCCAAGGTTTGAGGCCATCTTCTACTGCCTCCCCAGGCCACAAGGAGGGGCCTGGATGGGAAGTGGAGCAGCCAGGACATGAACTGCCCATATGGGATCCAGGTGGATGCAAGGAGAGGATTTAGCCGTTAGGCTATCGTGCTGGGCCCAAGATATCCCACATTTATGGACTAGAGAAACTAACATTGTTAAGATGTCCAGGCTTTGCAAAATGATCTACAGTGTTGGTGCATTCCCTCAAATTCCTGTCATTCTTCATAAACAATCCTAACATTTGTATAGAATCATCAGAAACCCCAAATTCCTCCTCCCCCAAAAAGACAGAGCCTGTCAGATTCTAAATATTCACAAAATAGTAATCAAAACAGCATAATAATCACAAATTTAGTTTACTGGATTTAGGCACACTGAATGCCTAGAAATGAACCATACATCTGTAGTCAATTCAACAAAGATGCCAAGAGCAAACATACATGAGCAAAAGCTAGTACCTTCAATTAGTGGTGTTGGTAAAATTAGCTAGTAATATGCAAAAAAATGAAACAGCCATTGCTTCAGCCTTTATGTCACAATCAACTAAAAGTGGATTAGAGATTTCCATGTGAGACCTGAAACTATAAAACTATTAGAATGTAAGGAGAAAACCACATAACCTTACTTGGTAGATAATTTCTTGAAGATGACATCAAAAGTGTAAGTAACAAAGAGACCTCATCAATTAAAAAACGCTTCTGCACAGAAGAAACAACATAATGAAGAGACAGCTTAGATTAGGAGAAACTATTAACAAATCATTCATCAGATAAGGGAGTTATATGAAAATGGGCAAGGAAACTAGACACTTTACGAAAGATGACATACAACTGACCAACAGGTATATGAAAAAACTGCAGTGTCACTTCTCAGAAAATGCAACTAGAACCACATGAGGTATTTCTTCACAATTGTGAGAATGGCTACTATCAAAAGACTACAAAAGAATATGGAAAAGGAGTCTTGCACACTTACTGCTATTATAAATCAGTACAGCCTTTTGGAAAACAATATAGATGCTTCTCAAAAAACCTGAAAATGGAACTACCATACACTCCAGCAATCCTGTTAAGGAGTGCATAGCAAAAGGACTCTTCATCTGTAGGTTTGAGATATCAAAGATCTTAGAACATGGTACTTGTATTTTTCAGCCTTTAGAAAGTTTCGCACAAGTCAGTGTCACAGTGTAACTGGTTAAGCCACAGCTTGCATTGTCAGCGTCCTGTATGAGTACTGGCTCAAGTCCTGCAGCTCCACTTCTCATCAGGCTTAATGCTTCTGTGCCCGGGAAAGCAGCAGATGGCTTAAGCTCTTGGAATGTCAACACCCGCTTAGGAGACTCAGAGAAGTTCCTGGTTCCTGGTTGGGCCAGTCCTGGCTGTTGCGACCATTTGGGGCAATGAACCAGCAGATAGATCTCTTTCTCCCTATTTTCCTATTCTTCATATATAACAAATCAGAAATAACAGGCTAGTTCTGTGAATCATTCTAGCAAAGTAGCGAAGCTGAGCTTAAAGGAGGTTAGATACACAAGAGGCTGACTTGGGCTTGGCATCTTAATATGATCCAATTCTGAATCTTTGGGGTTTTAAGCTACCTTTGGGTAGTGTCAGATTTGAATTTAAACAATTAAATTGAATTGGCTCATTGGACACCAAGTTTATGCTCACAGAGAACCGTTGGTCAAGCACAGAGAAGTACATTCAATCAACTGAGTTGGACAGCTCTTTTAGGCTAATCCATTTTTTGTAGTACTCAATTCTACTACCTCATGCCCATCCTTAACATTCTTATGATCTTCCAAATAGCCACTTTGAACTTCTATTACTCCACATATTGCATGTACAGTCCTGGCCTTCTGATTGTTTTGGTATCCTGGTTAGAAGACACCTTCTCAAAACTTGAAAAACTCAATTATTGCAGTGGCCTTTTCTTTTCACAGGTAACCAGCAATTTGAATTCTCATTGACTAATAGTCTTTTTTCACTCATTGGGTGGATTTTTTTCCCTAGAAATCCTACTTATAATTTCTTGAAACCCAAATTTTTCCTTTTTAAAAAAATATTTTAAATTTTTTATTGGAAAGTCAGATATATATACAGAGGGGAAGAGACAGAGAGGAAGATCTTGCAACAGTTGATTCACTCCCCAAGAACCTGCTTCAGCCAGAGCTGTGCCAGTCTGAAGCCAGGAGCTATTCACTCCCCAAGTGACTGCAACGCTTGGAGCTGAGCCGATCCAAAGCCAGGAGCTAGGAGCTTCTTTCAGGTCTGCCATGCAGATGCAGGGTCCCAAGGCTTTGGGCTGTCCTCGACTACTTTCCCTGGACACAAGCAGGAAGCTGCATGGGAAGTGGAGCTGCCGGAATTAGAACCAGCACCCATATGGGATCCCGGCACATGCAAGGCGAGAACTTTAGCCAACAGGCTATGGGTTCTGGGACCCAAAACTATTTTCCATACAGTTACCATCATCAGTTTCCAACAGGAAAAGTTATTCTCAGCATTTGACATAAGTCAGAAATAAAGCCTTAAGATGATGAGTCATAATTGCTTCTCGGCCTTTTGACTAAGATCAAGAGTGATAACTGGTCTGTAAGGTCTCCATCAGAACTCAGTTATTTATAATAAACTTGATACTGTATCAAGATTCAGGGAGATTAATTAAAGCTTCTGAGTCTCAATTTTTTAACTGCTTTATTTACAAAAATTAACATTTTGTGATTTTTACTATTTCAATTAATTCATTGAAATACCAGAAAGATTGTATTTGTTTACTCCCAAAATGCATGTAACCCCAGGGCAGGGCATATGGAATCCAATGGCCTGAAATTCAATGTGGGTCTCCCACACTGGGGGCAGAAATTCAAGCATTTGAATCACTACTGCCGCCTCCCAGAATGCACATTAGCAACAAGCTTAAATTGGAAGCAGATCCAAGCCTCAAACTAAGGGACACTGGGATGTGGTGTCCTAAGCAACAACTGAACTGCTGTGCCAAATGTTTTAGCTGTACTTCCTGGCTTCTGGGTTCATCCTGACCTTTCCAGACTTGGCTGCTGAGGTCACTTGGAAAGTGAACACTTTGACTGAATTTCTATTTCTCCCTTTGTCTCTGTCATTCTACTTCTCAAATAAACAAATCTTTGAAAAAGAATAAAATTCATTCTATTTTGCAACACACATGCCTTTTAAAATGGGTCCTTTGAGCTCTTCCAAATCCATATTCGTTATTTTCTTCATTCTTTGGCCCACTACATTTAAGCCATGTCCTCACCTCAGGCTAGTTCTGAGGCTTACAGTAAATCTGCTTTCTATGGCTTTCTCCAGTTAAATAAACTACAAAAGATGATCACTGCAAAAAGATAAGGCCTAATTTGTGTACCACTTTCTTTTCATCACAATGGAAATAACTAAAATAACACACAGCTTTACAAAAATAAATTTTTTATTAAAAGCAGTAGAGTCTGAGCAGGAAGACAGTACAAAGAATGTAAACAATGTAAACATCACTACATTCAGCTCAGCCTGATTGAATGCTGAAATACAACTCTAAATGCTCTATGTGCCCTTACTAGCAAGATACATTAATTCTAGTTTACAAAGGCAAACACAATCTAATTTTGATTAGGAAAGAATTTCATCGAAGTCGATCCCAGCGCCAAATACTGGCATCATCACAAACAGCTATAAGAATACTGCTATCCCTGCTAAAACTGGTTTGTCGAATAGCAGCACCACATTTATGATGAGTCAGTGTTGTACATCTAGGGGAAAAAAAAGTATAACAAGTTAAATTCATATATAATGTTGTTAATATCCACCCTAAGCCAGTGAATGAGAAAATATGCAGATGTCCAAAGCCATATAAAAAGTGCATGAGGAGGCCACCCTTCTGTAAAATGGATTAAGCTGCAGCCTGTGGCACTGACATCCCATATGGACTCTGGTTTAAGTCCCAGTTACTCCATTTCTAATCCAGATCCTTATTAACATGCCTGGGAAAGCAGAAAACTATGGCCCAAGTGCTTGGGCTCCTGGACCCATGTGAGAGACCCGGGCTTTGGCCTGGCTCAGCCCTACTCATTGTGGCTGCTTGGGGAATGAAACAGCAAATGAAGACCTCCTCTGGCTCTTCCCCTCCATCTTTATTCTGCCCTTCAAATAAATAAAAATAAATCATAAATCAGAAGGAAGTCAACCTAAAATTTAATAAAAGCTTAGTAATATTTGAAATTATATCAGGCATATTGGAAATATACATAATTCTTAAACAGAAAGAAATAACTAATTGCCAAAGTATCCAAGGAAAAGTATTGGAGTGAAAAATAAGTAATCTTGAGACTGGTGAATCTTAACAATTATCTAAAGATGGAATTACAAGTATCATTTATTCACCCTGTATAAGAGCATTAAACTTGGGGTAAGGACAGAATTTCTGTACAGAAATTTCCAAATACTTACTTGGCTTTATGAGGATCTTCTACTTCTAAGTCCCAAACATAAAGTTTGCCAACCTGATTGCCCAATGCAAGCATCTGTATAAACATATTTTAAAAACAAAAATTAATATAATCTCAATGCTCTAAAGCACTAATCAATCTTAAGCCATCTTTCTTATTTCAGAAAAACCTCAGTTCCAGCTTGACTGTGCCCTTCCCTTGATCTGCTATTCCTAAATTGTAAATATGGGTAAGAGCAGTTGACAGACATCAGTGTCTTCAGAAATCAGAAGGCACTTCGCAAATTTGTGAAGGACTTTTAAATTTACACTGTTAATCATTTCACTCTTTTGCCTTAGAGAACTGCAACAATCACCATGGAAAGCTTTCCCAAAGCTTTTATAGAGAAAATAAACATCCAGCTAATGTTATCATGAAGCTTTGACTCATTTCTTTAAAATTTTAGGTCACTGATATTTTACTTCTGTCTTTGATGCTCATCTTTCTCTAGAGTTTTTACAGAGAAAAGCTACTTGAGAAGATTATTAATACTCTCAATACTAAATATTAAAATCTTATGAGCAGGTGTTATCCAATTTCCCCCACTGGTTTTTCACTGCCAATTTCATTTATGTATGTACTTGAGGATGTGCAAAGCCACAAAGATAAAATGACACAGGGCAAAATAACCAATACAAAAAAACAATCAATCTATACTGTTAGAAGAACATGAAAATAACAGAACAGAAACAACAGAAAATAATTTCAAAATGTAATAATGTTGCTACCTTTTGCCAGAAATCCATAGAAAACCTCATGTACCAAATGTCACACTGGCTGTAATCAAATCGCCCAAGAATAGTCACATTAGACTCACTAGGTTTAATTTTATCTATATCATCTTCCATTTTGCCAGGTTTCCAGCATACAATGGCATTTTCACAAGACTAAAACAGAAATGAGAAAAGAACATATTGATTATAGAACTGAAATATAAAAACTTAAAAGCAAAGATTTTTTTCTCTATTAACATTTCAGAATTGACAGATCTTTAGAACATTTATTATATTTACAATCTAAGTCCATACATGAGGACAAGAAATTTATCAGCAAAGAACATAAAAGAATTAAATTTTCTGAAACATTCATTCTGAAAGTTACAACTTTCTTCCAAATCATCCAACTTTCAATCTTTGGATATGGAACCCATGAATGTAAAGAGCCAACTGCACAAATCTATCTTCATAAACAGTCCACAGCAGGGCCTGGCCAATGACTGCCAGACTCTCTCTTTTTTTTTTTTAAATAAAATTTTGCTGTGATGAATGAAAACATAAAAATAAAATACCTGTTTTACTATTTAGCAATAATACTGAAAATCAGAGAACAGCTTACTAGAAACAGACTTTTTAACTCACTGGGATAGTTTATATCTAAAACAAATTCCCAAGTCTGTGAAAATGAGGCTTAAAAAAGGATAATTTCCTACCTACCATTCATTTTAACAACTATGTAGGAAACTATATTTCTTGCAAAGTTTGAATATGTACAAGAAATGGAAGTGCAACTTAACCAAAGTTACCATACCTTGGAAAGTATCAAATCACCCAACCATCTCACGCAGTCAACGTAATTCCTATGTATGTCTCTGGTAGAAAAGTCAGGAAAGTGGATTTTCTGTGAAATAAAAGGCCTAAAGAAAGGATGAAAATGTAAAGAGTTAAAAGAAAAAATATACACTAGAGTCATACTATCCTTCATGCTTGGATTAATAAAACTTTGAAAAACAAATGATCACTGTTAATTCCTCTGGCCCCAGATAACTGAGTAACTTATATGTTACCACAGTCTTTCTTTTCTGTGTTTCCTTCCATTATCGGCTTTCAATATTATTTGATGTCCTATGATCCAGAAAACATGCACCTTCCTGTCTGTTAGTATTCATAACAACCAATTAATTACTCATTTAATTCTTGCTGTCCTAGCCAACAAGAGACTTAACAGCAGAAAATAAAGTTTCTCATAGAAAACATGCTGAACTACCTACTTAACCATTTAAAATTAAGAAATAATGATTCGTTAAGTCAGTATACCTAGGGTATTTTGAAACAATCAATTCTCTAGGAACAAAAAACGTTCAATATTGCTAAAGACCTCTCCATTTATTTTTATATTAAGAAAGTGAGGATATGGAGAGCCATTTTTTTTAATTGTAGTGTAATTATGTGTGTGCATCTGTGTGTGTCAGGGGTAGGAGGAGTATCTGGCACAATAATTAACATGCCCTTTGGGAAGCACACATTCTTTACTGATGTGCCTGGCTTTGAATTCTGGTTCTAAGTCCAATTTCAGCTTCTTGCCAGCGTGTACCCATGGAGGCAGCAGGCGACAGCCCACATACTTAGGTCGCTGTTAACTACATGAGTTACACACTGCTGGTTTCAGCCAAGCCCAGCCCTTGCTGTTACAGGCATTTTGGGAATGAACAAGCAGATAAAAGAGCTTCCTGTCTGTCTTGTCTCTCAAGTAACTATAAGTAAGTAATCTGAGAAGTATTAGTATGAAGACAATAAACAAGACAAGCCGCTACCAACTATTTAGTTATCAGCACACCTAACGTTCCTAATGTAGTGAGTGATTCAGTTTTTACAGTGTACTAACTGTACAACAGGGTGTACCACGAATTAGCTATTGTAGGCAATTCACATGTCCTTTCTCTTTACCTTTTCCTTCATATGTATCATCAGAAATAATTCTTCCATTTCCAATTTAGGAATCTTTTATTTAGTAAAATATTAAAATTTTATTAATGTTCTAAGCTATTAACTGTGCTCTAATTATGTTAATCATATTTTGGCCAAGTACATAATACAGTCTTATAGCTAAAATCTCAAAAAGAAGAGTCCATTATTTTCTGGAAGCCATTCATTTGTATTTATTCCTAGACAAAAAGACTTAAAAATATCAATTTATTTTTCACTAGTCCCTAGCATTTTAAACTAGAAATCTGAAAGCTGTACTAATTCTTAAGATACCACTGAGCTCTGATGAATGTTAGTGAATTGAAGTATTGCCGATACTTACACGTCTAACAATTAGTAATCTGGCATGATAGCCAGAAAATAAATTAATCATAACATATGTACGTAAGTGATTTTCATAGTCCGAGTTAATGGCAGCCTGGTACAATTCTGAAGACATTTAGTGTATTAAGAACTGAAGCATTTCAAAAAAATCTTTAAAAAGCTGAAAAATTTCATCTCATAGTACCATACAGAAATGATCCTGTATTTGAATTTTCTACACCAAATTAATCTCATTTAAAGGAAAGTATATTATAATGAAGCTAAGAATCCCATTGAAAAAAATTAGTTTACTACTTTGAACTAGACTTTCCTAACATATTCCTTATTTTCTGTATTCTATAGTAAATTGCTTTAATTGTCTACATGTATAACTTAAAAGGCTAAATACACACATACTTTAATAAAGTAAAATGTGCTAATTAAGATAAAAACAAACTTTAAAGGGGACTCAGCTCCCATTTAGAACAGGCAAATTTTATGGCATGTAAATTATACCTTAAATTTACTAGGGGACCAGCGTTTAGCCTAGCAGTTAAGATGTCCGCCACATGCAGCAATTGCCTGCGTTTAACACCTGACTGACACTGACTCTGACCTCCTAACAGTGCAGCTCTCAGGCAGTGCTGACGGCTGAAGTAACTGAGTTCCTGCCACTCAGGTGGGAGATGTGGATTGCACTGTTGGCTCCTGGCTCTGACCCCAATCCAGCCTTGCCTGTGGCCACTGGAGGTTGACCCAAAAGACGAAGGCTATCTGTTACACTCTTTCTGCCTCTCAAATAAACTAAAAAAACAATCATTTAAAAGAAAAAAAAATTAAGTTACTAAAAAGGAGATATCTAAATTCAATACTGGAACTTATATAACTGAGCTTTAGAAAGTTACTGGAAAAATTCATCTTAATTTTTTTGTTTTCCCACAAGTTTTTCTAACAATTTTGGGAAAAAAATGAATCACATCTATGAACAGTACCACACGGCAAATTGTTTTAAATATCACAACTGTTACCTGTTAGTTTTATTTGGATTATAATCATAAGATTCTTTAATTGCATTCATCATTCTCTTTGAATTGATCCTCCAAAGTTTAAGAGAGTGATCCATACCACAGGACATTATTTTTTCACCCAAAAGATCATAATCCTATATGTAAAACAGAAAAAGTTTAAGTATATAAATGATAGTCCCAAATTATGTATAGCCAATTTTCACCTGTTATCTAGTGAAAATTGTACTTCAAATCACAATATTAACAATATTTTGGGCTTCATCCATGTAGGCCATAAATCAGAGTTGGGGTGGACATTTGGCCTAGCGTTAACATGCCACTCGGGATGCTCATATCCCCCAGATGCCTGGGTTGTCTCAGCTCTGCTCTTGAGGCCCTATTCAATGTCACCCAGGGAGGCAGCAGGTGGCAAATGGCTCAAGCACTTGGGAAGCTACCGCCCACAAGGGAGGTCTGCCCTGAGCTTTGTCCCTAGCTTCAGCCTGGCCCAGTTTTGGCTACTGTAAACATGTTGGGGGCAAACTCTTTGCTCCTCAAAGTAGAAAATAAAAGCAACCGAAGAGTTTACTACTGAACAGATTTCACGTTTTAACTGGTTTGTCACCATCTAAGTTTGAGGTTTTTTTTTTTTTTAATATGGATGGCAAGAAAGTAAAATTCTTTGACTTATTCAGTTACATTCACATACTTCTGATTGATCTTAAAGTACATAGTGAACACTTTGGTAAAACAATTATTCTAGGACACAAAGAGACAAACTGTAATATTACTTTTCTAATAATCCTAATCAAGCAATGAAACTAATATCTGTGTACTTTTATGTATCTGGTACCTCTAGGTAAAAACATTTCAACGTTAATACTGGTTCTACAGCTCATTTTTAAAATGAAAAACAAACCTAAAAAGCAAACATATTTTAACTTTTTCATTTGCCTTGTACTAATTGTTAATAGGTATCTCATAGGTTGTCTATTTTAACAATCTTATTACAGAGAAGAGATACTATTTCCTGTTCTTATTTCAATTTATCTTGCACTACTCCAACATTGAAAGTAATCATATGCATTTTTGTTTCACAGGAGCCTAAGAGATAATATGCAAACTCCACTCAGAGGAATATTCTAGTACCTCTGATTTAAGGGCCTGCATGAAGCTAAGCCGGTGAAACTTCAACCTGCAATGCTGGCTGTTCCGCTCTGGATTCAGCTCTCTGCTAACAGTCTGGAGAAGCAGCAGAGGAGGGGTGCTATACGCACATGGAGTCCCAGATGGAACACCTAGCCCTTGGCTTCAGCCTGGCCAAGCCATCTGGGGAATGAACCAGCAGGATGAAGCTATTTCTCTTTCTCTAATTCTGCCTTTTAAACAAATAAGTAAAATTTAAAAAAAAAAAAAAGAAATCAAATGAGCTAAAACAAGTCAAGTCAAAATATCAAAGTCTGGAATGCAACTAAAAACATTTGTATCGTATTAGTGTCTTTAATCAACTGCCAGTCTTGTGTAATACTAGGCCATGTAAACAGAAGAGGTGAAAACAGGATGAGCACAATAAACAAAAGCAAAATCAAGCCTTTATCTGTTTTACTCCTTCACCTGTAAAACTAAAATCCTGTATATAAAATGTCAGTAAAATGTCTGTCTGGCAGTCCCTGTGAAAGAAATACACTTCTCTGTAAGAAAAGACTTCCACAGTGATTATTCACAGCTCTGTATAAGTCTGAACTTCATTTCCATGAGCCTTAACTTACAGCACTTAGAACTTCATCTCTGTGCCCTTCTACGCCTCCAAATATTGCGACAAGAGTGTCCGTTTGGATATTCCATAATCGTAAAGCATGATCTACGATAAAAGTACCAAAATATTAGGATGAAATTCTATCACAAATTATTGTGAACTTTCAATATGTCCTCAAAGTAGTAAAAATCGGAAATTAAAAGTTTTATATGGAGCTTGTGTTGTGGTGTAACAGGAAAAGCTGTCACTTGCAATCCTGGTTTTATATATGGGCCCTATTTGCATCTCAGCTGCTCTACTTCTGATCCAGCACATGGGAAAGTTATAGAGGATGGCCAATGTACCTGGGAAAGCAGCTGCAGATGACCAAAGTCCTTGAGCCCCTGTCCCCACATGGAAGACCTGCAAGAAGCTCCTAGCTTGTGGTTTCAGTCTGGCCCAGGCATGGCTGTTGAGCCATCTGAGAGGTGAGCCAGTAAATGGAAGACTACTCTCTTTTTCTTTAATTACACCTTAAAAAATTTTTAGGGCCCGGCACAGTATCCTAGTGGCTAAAGTCACTGCCTTGTATACACTGGGATCTCATAAGGACACTGGTTCTAATCCCGGGAGCTCTGCTTCCCATCCAGCTCCCTGATTGTGGTCTGGGAAAGCAGTTGAGGACAGCCCAAAGCCTTGGGACCCTGTACCCACATGGAAGACCCAGAAGAGTGCCTGGCTCCTGATCAGTTCAGCTCAAGCCACTGTGGCCGCTTTGGGAGTGAATTAACGGATGAAGTTCTTCTTCTCTGTATGTCTGACTTTCCAATAAAAACAAAATAAACCTTTAAAAAAAAATCTTAAAAAGAGAATAATTTTCCGTAAAATGTATTTAAGAAAAACGTCTGTATAGAAAGGACTAGGAATGGATTTCATATAAAATGTGTTAAAATTCTTACAAGAAATGTAGCATTAATATTTATGTAGTCTTAAATAGTTTAAATCAATCACCTCAAGTAATTTTCCTTAAACAATATCTAAAATTGCTGCAGATAAGCTTCTGAGATGAAAAATAAATACCTATGGATTTGACAAATAATTTTCTATTTTGCTATTCCCTAAGATACTGCCCTTTACTTTCACCACACTCACATTTACACAGAGAAGGGGATCAAACAGATTCATAAGATTTCTACAGTAAACTACAGCATGATTTAAAGCTACATAGATTCTTCTACTAAACATTAGTAAACACCCATAAACAAAAGAAATGTTACACTGAGTGATATTTGATTTTTAAGACTGTAACTGTGTCCAAACTGTATGTAGTATTAACATTCCATAACATCCACAAGAATGTGTGTACATATATATATTTAAAATATATTCTAAACAGAAGAAATGAACATTGCCATACAAAGATTCCTTGATCTCAATGTGTACAAATTTTTGTGAAGACATGTTTTCATTTCTCTATGAGATCAGAGATACATTCCTAGGACTGAGAACTCTATGTATAATATTTTCAGGGATTCTAAGAATTTTTCCAAGTTAGTTATATTTTACATTTCCACTAGCAAGGTTTGTAGGTATTCTGATATCAACATTCCAATCAATATTTATTTGTTTATTTATTTTGTTGGAAAGGCAGATACACACAGAAGAGATATAGAAAGATCATCCTTCTGCTGGATCACTCCCTAAGTGGTTGCAATGGTCACCGATGAGCTGATCTGAAGCCAGGAGCCAGGAGCCAGGAGCCAGGAGCCAGGAGCCTCTTTCAGGTCTTCCACACAGGTGCAGGGTCCCAAGGATTTGAACTATCCTCAACTGCTTTCCAAGGCCACAAGCAGGGAGCTCAATGGGAAATAGAACAGCCGGAAAATGAACTGACACCCGTATGGGATCCAGTGGACGCAAGATGAGGTTTTAGCCACTAGGCTATTGTGCTGGGCCCCAACATTTCTTACTGTTTCATATTTTTATAACAATCTTAAGTAGACGTGAAGGATCTCACTACAGTTTTTTTAAAGATTTATTTTTTTTATTGGAAAGGCGGATATACAGAGAGGAGAGACAGAGAGAAGATCTTCCGTCCAATGATTCACTCCCCAAGTGAGCGCAATGGCTGATGCTGTGCCGATCTGAAGCCAGGAGCCTCTTCCGGGTCTCCCACACGGGTGCAGGTTCCCAAAACTTTGGGCCGTCCTCGACTGTTTTCCTGGGCCACAGGCAGAGAGCTGGATGGAAAGCGGGGCTGCCAGGATTAGAACCAGTGCCCATATGGGATCCCGGGTGTTCAAGGTGAGGACCTTATCCACTGCGCCACCGCGCCGGGCCCCTCACTACAGTTTTGATTACATTTTTCTAAGGACTAATGATGAACATTTGTATATGTTCACTGAAGGACTATTAAGAATTTCTGAGTATTTTTAGTTGTATTGTTTTTCAAAGTTCCCTAATTACAGAAATGACATATTTTTCCAGGATATTATCCTCTTCCTTTCTTGACGCTATCATTTGAACAGCACAATTGCTTTCATTCTGAAGTTGTTTGATTTAAAAAATGCTTTTACATGTAGAAGACCCCAAGGCTAAAGGCTGTGTTAGTGAGGCCAATTTTGTGGCACAGTGAATTAAGCTACCACTTATCTCATGTTGGACTGATGGCTTGAAACCTAGCGCTCCATTTCTGATCCAGCTTCCTGGTAATGCACCTGGAAGGCATCACATGGTGTCTAAGGACTTGGGCCTCAGCCATCCACACGGCAGACCAGGATGGAGTTCCTGTTTCCTGATATTGGAACCAGGCTGTTGTGACCATCGAGGGAGTAAACCAGCAAACAGAAGATTCCTGTCTCTCCTCATTCATTCATTCAATTGAATGTATTCATTCAACTGAATACATACATATACAAATAAATACATAATCTTAAACAACAACAAAATACCTGTGTCAAGTGAGGCATTATGGCCTATAGTGTGAGAATGTCTAAGCAAAAGTATTGATATTAAGCATTATTTATTACTAGAATAAGTAACGAGCACTTTCTAGAGGTGGTGATTTCAAAATTTAAGTTTTGGCAGTTACAGAAAAATAACATTCTAACATTTTCATGAGCTGTGATATAAAGATGTACTTTTAATTTTACTAGATTGCAGAATGCATTATGGCATGGCAAGCCCAAGAAAAGGATAAACTTGACTAGACTTTAGTAGAAATGTAAGTAGAAAAAGAGACTCAAGAATTGAATATAAAAATAAGCACCTAACTCATTTCGGAGAATTAAGAAATAATAAAGACATGTCTAAGGCAGAGTAAGTTCACAATGCCAATAGGCATAAAGAATAATGCAGTACTTCATGGACACATGAATGGAGAATGATGGTAACTAGTAATATAATTTGCGTAACGAAGTCTTTAAAACTTCAAAATGTAATTCATTTGGCAATAGGCCATTTAAAACCAATGAAACAATATAATCACTCAATTGAAAGTAAAGTTCTAGAACTGTCACAATACAATATGGTAAATAAAGATGGGTAATCCTCAGTACCAGTTATTTTAACATCTGGTAAACCTAAATGTATTTCATGGTTCTTGTCCTCAATTCTTGATTTAGAAGTACATGAGAATTTGCTACTAAAATTTATTATAAAAAAATTCAAAATTTTTTCCTGTTTAAACAATTTGGTGTTTTTATTCCTTAACATACATACATACACACACACACACACATATATACATACACACATATATATACAGATCCCCAAACAAAGAGAGCTAAAGAAGCATTTGCTGCACTTACCTTTACTTACTGATAAGAGAAGATTTGGATCTCTTGGATGGAATTTCAGCTCATTTATAGCATTTCCATGGCCAACATAATGCTATAATAAATTTAAAACATTTCAAATTTCACACCTCAAAATTGATAAATTGTTTCATTGATCACAAAAGAATGAAGTAAGTACTTGTTTTGCTCAAAGTAAGGGTTCTCAGTCTTTGCTGCAGGTTAAAATCACCCATCAAAGCTGAAGGGAAAGGAGGTCCCTCAAGGCATGCCTATAAATATTCTGACCGGATCAAGTAACAGGAGGGCAGTGTGGGTGGTGATGAAAAGATCCTCACGTGATTGAATATGTCCCCAATATTAAAAAATACATGAGTAAAGTGAGTTTTTAAAACCTGGTTCACAGATCAGCTTCCTAGGGTTCACCTTTCAGTTCACTGCTAGGTGCTTGCTCCTCCATGCCCCATTTTGAATGTCTGGGAAAATGGACTCTCCGCCACTGTTCACTTAGAGCCTCTCATAGCAAGGAAGACCAGAATAGGGAAATGATTTCAAAAGGAAACATTACAAATATTAACATTGCCCTATTCATTACTCAAATGACAAAAGTCTCAAAAAGATTTTTAAAAATTTAACAAGCAAAAAAGAAGTCAGAAATTTTACCATCGCTGATTTCATTAATCTGAAATACAATGACATGTTTTCATGATATGTCTTCAAAAGAAGCAGAAAACCCACCTTTATACACTGCATTGTTATAGGATTAATTATTCTGATTATGCCTCTAGATCCAGCAACAGCCAGCAAAGGATGACTTGTATTACTATCATAGGTCCACGCACATGTATAAAAGTTTTCATCGGCCTAAGAAACATCACAGTTAAGAAATATAACTTCTTTAAAAAACAAAACAAAACAAAACACATGGTAGCAATCACAGCACATGGAAATGTTTGAAGATCTGTTACAGTTTTTTTCACAGAAAAGCTCTCATTGATCTTTAAATTTACTAAATTGTGATTACAGGCCTAAAATCAACACTCAAAGATGAAACAAAATCACAGTCCCTCCACTTCACTGTATTAGTGGTTTCAAAACTCTATCACTACATTGCCCCAAACAATATGGAAACAATGGGCATTTTAGCAATATTTTATTTATGATACTTAACAATACTTTTATTATAAAATTAAAATATATACCACAGTATTGTATAATATTTTTACTCTGCTGTGTGCTGTCTATGCTTTTCTAAATTAAAAAAAAAAAAAAGGTAACAGGTCAGAAGAAGCTAAATGCTTCTGCTTTTCTTAGGCCCTCAGTTTATCAAATGGATCTGAAAGAACTGTCCCATCACCTAGCTTTAATACTCTACCCCTGTAGCCTTTTTTTACAGTTTTCATTTTAAGAACCCTTGTCTTGTCTTAGTTTCTAACCAGAACATTTATTTCTCATCTCTCCTCTAGACTTGGAATGACTGCCAGCAATAGCTTCCTGTCAACCCAAGCTCATCATTACAATTACAATGAAATGGTAATGTTTCAGCCCAAATAAAAACCACAAGTTTTAGCTAGTCACTAAAACATTTTCTGTTCTTGGATGTCCAATGTTCCTATCTGTAGCTGTCTGAATTTAACCCTCTCAGTTATCCTACAACGAATTTTGACGATCAAGAAAACTAGATACCAGAATTATTCTGATGATGGTAACAGAGAAAAGTCTAACATTCATCAAGTTAAGAAAGGATATAATTTAGGTTAGGTTAAATTAATTTTGAAAAGTTTTGATGTATTTATTGAAAATATGTCTCTGGCAAAAACACTAACATTCCAGGAAAGGATACATCAGCATCCACATAAGATTGCAACAACCGGATTTCTCCTTGTGAGTGACATTCATACAAGGTAACCTAATGAAAACACAGATATAGTCAATTGCATCTTAAGTAGAGAGACAGCTTGCTTAGTTTATACACATACTTTAGTTTTATCTTAAACACAGCAAAGAAACTAGTTCTTTAAA